CAACAAAGAAATAAAACCCGGGCGACGTAGCTTAATCACTTGTTGGTTTCGTTACATCTCCTTTCCTACTGTAATTCGCTTCCCCCATGCATGTCGTCTTCATTTTATGCTTGATCTATGTATTTACTACTGTGCCACTACTGTGCTACGAGACGCGCCTTAGACGCACATGTTTTCGCCGACAAGCTGAGTCAGGGGGTACGTCCCCACCTCAGTGACGCAGACTGGACATCTTCCACCTTCTTTGTTCAGGGAATGGTGGGTACAGTCTTGGAGCTTCGGAGTACAATGAACCAGAGGGTTCAGATCAAATCCGCTAGCCAGTTGGCCCTGCCACATATCCCTGTCGTACACAGATTGCGCCAGTGTAGTCCGGTTTGGAGACAGCGGGTGACCGATCCCTGAACCTTTCCAGGTGGTGACATTCGGTTACGGAATACCGCTAAAATCTCCATCACCTCCGTCAGTGTCTCGCCTGTTGGGCACTGCCAGGGGACTCCCGCAAGGCGGAAGCAATCAGACAGGAAGTGGAAGTTTGCTGGGAAAAGGCGCCATATACAGGGTACATCAGCTGGAACTAAATCATAGTACCAGATCTACAAGTGGCGGGTGTCCAGTTCTGGACCTAGGCAGACTGAATCAGTACGTGCTCCTCGATCGGTTCCACATGGAGACACCATTCAGGGTTCTTCTCTCCATCCACCGTTTCGACTGGCTAGCCCCACTAGACTTAAGTGGGGCCTACCTGCGCATACCGATGCACCCAGCGAGTTGCCCTTCGAATTACCCAGCTGGGCCAAGTATTTGAATTTCTGGTGCCCCCCCCCCCCCTTCGGGTTATGCACAGCGCCCTACATGTTCACCAGAGTGACGAAAAAGGTAGTGCTGCTGCTTCACCAAATGTCGGTACACCTCAATTTGTACCCAGACTACTGGTTACTACACAACCCGGACAAGGGGTTAATAGCCAAACATGTCAGGCTAATACAGGATTTACTTCACCAGTTGGGCTCGACAAGTTCCACCTCGACCCAACGCGCAGTTGGTGTCCCTGGGCATGGAGTTTTGACACAGAGGTAAGCTTGGTTTAGCTATTGCAAGCGTGTTGCTTAGCGCTAAGCAGCCTAGCCAAATGCCTGGTCAGCGTTTCCTCAGTGTCCCTCCGGGAACTAATGCGGATCATCGGAATGATGACCTCGGTTCGAAGGGTCGTTCCCCAGGCTGCACTACGCAGCCACCCGGTATAATGCTTGTTATAATGCCAAGCTCTCCTATGGGAACTAGATAGGCGGGTTTTGATCTGGGACCAAGTGAAGGAAGCCCTGCCCTAGTGGCCGTCACTGGCCAACCTCGGACAGGGGGCCCCCTTGGACCCGCTCGCCGCAGGTATGACTCTCGTAACTGATGCCTCCTCCCAAGGTTGGGGAGCACATCTACTGGACGAACAAGTCCAAGGATATGGCCCCCGCATTAGTTTCTGGACTAGCATATCATCCGGCTCGAACTGAAAGCAGTATACTTAGCACTACCACGCTTTCTACCCGTAGTTCGAGACCACAGAGTCCTGCTCCGCACAGGCAACGCAGTGGTGGTCTCCTTCAAGAAGGAGGGGGGGGGGACGTGTTTCTCATCGTTGTCAGTCCTAGCGGAGCAAATCCTCCTTTGGTGCCTGGAATACAATGTGGAGCTAACCGCACACCACCTTCCTCACCCGATCATCATCCCCCGGCTGTCAAATTTTGTCTGCCCGGGGGGTCAGGAGGAATTTCTTCTCTGTCCGGTTCGAGCATGGAGTTGCTACCAAACCGTACTAAGGATTCAGGATGGGGTGCCAGGCACATGTCTTTGTGTTACGGCCCAGGCAGGCAGGATAGGCCGGCCTCCCCACTTCCATAACCAGGTGGTTTACTGCGACTGTATTAGAGGTCTATAATACTTTAACTTCCTCGACACAGAGCTTGCAGAGACACCAAGTACGAGCGGATGAGATCTGTGCGATTGTCACTAGTGCTAGTGTCAGGTGCCCCCTCGAGCATACACGAAGGGCAGGCTTCTGGAGAACGCAGAACCGTCAACACTCCCCTAGAAGCTCCCAGGTCTCGCTTTGCGGCCTATGCCCTCATGCAGAACTGTTTCGGCCTTTACTTCGAAAGCTTGCTACCCCCAGAATTGGGTTGGGGTCTAGCTTTCTCGGGCACACCAAACCCAGTCACCGTAGCAGCATTTTGGCTTCTTGCTCCGGGGACAGCACAGGCAAGGTAAGACACCACCCTTTTTTGGGCCTTAACCAGGGTGTTGAGTGACTTGTTGTTGACTTTCATCATTTTCTGTTTGCTCGGAAAACCCGTCACCTATCGGCGTCTGACTCTGCCTACAGTTCAAAATAGTCATTTTGACTGACCGGAGTCTATGGTGGGTACTGTAAAAGGGTTAATTATTCACTGGGTTTTAATTTAGCTTATTTCGCTGACTGGAAAATGCGCTAAATTAAAACCCTGTGAATATGTAAAATTTAGCATAGAACACATTATCTAAATGATAAAACCGTGAATTTAAAACCCACTGAATAACCTGAAATGGTAAATCAGTGAAATTTAAACCCAATGAAAATTAGTCATTTTACAGTAATTGAACGTAGTGAATTTAGGCAGAGGGTTCTCTGCACTCGCCTATTCACATAGTTCATACCCACTATAGACTCCGGGTCTCCCCCAACCACTCCACTCTTTCCGTAGCGTTGGTCTAAGTCCTTGATGCGGAGAGAAAGGAACCAGAGTGATTGTACAGACGTCTATGGCGCCGCCATATGGGCTCAGCCACGTGGTTTGTGACGTAAGGGAAAAAGAATCTTGGGGTCATGGGGCTTCTCCTGAACTAGATTATATCTCTCCGTCACCAGCAGAATCGCTGATTAATGCCTACAGTTCAAAATAGTCATTTTGACTGACCGGAGTCTATGGTGGGTATGAACTATGTGAATACGCGGGTTTGGAGAACCCTCTGCCTAATTCATGGTCAATTTATCGCATATTCCTGTCCTATTGTCGGCACATGGTTGTTCTCATATACCATACCATGACAGGTTATGATGAAATATAATCACAAGGATTTTAGAACACTCATAGGTCAATTCAAAACTCCAAACAAAACTGTTTTTCACATTGTGATTGCAGGAAAAATAATCAGCCACACATTATGTCAAAAAATTATCATATTTTTGACTTAAAAAACAATATGATTTCCATTTATGATGCTGCATTTGTGAACAGATAAATACTATAGTTTTTGATGTCAGATATATAATATATCATACTGATATGTAATTTTGCTGTTTAAACCCTAACATTTTGCAAACTATTTGATATTTACTTTGGACCAGATGCATATATTTTTCTATTGACTTACAGGTCTTGATCAAAATTGTTGAAAGAAAAATGAAAAAAGTTATAACGAATTTGTTTTATTAAATGTAGGAAAAGTTGAAAGGGTCAAAGGTCAACTGTAGGAACTCAATCCCTGTATTTTGGTTGCAGATTACAACCCGGGTAAACCTGGGGGTGGATGGGATAATGGCAGAGATATGAACAACTCAGCGGTGTCAAATGGCAGCGATCCAAAAAGTAAAGACAGTACAGACCTGACAGAGAAGTGAGTTATGATATATGGTGTTTCATTGTTTTAATGTTGCCATGGAAGCATATAATTATAAATTACGCTACATTGACTGTACCAGCCATTATAATTGGTGGTGTATATCGTAGACTCCATGATATGTTACTGTAAAATGCTTTAGATTTTTCAACCAACAAATTTTCATGAGTCTGTGAAAATAGCAAAATTTTCAGTGACTTTCGTGAAACGTTGACTTCATAAATGTCACGAAAGTCTCCAATCGTGAAAATTTAAAGCAGTGAAAATTAAACCGTCTATAGAACATTATTCTTATGTGATTAACCCTTTGAACGCTTCGTGTGCAAAATCACAAAATTTGTGATCAACTTTTGACACTCAAATATTTATTTTCTACAGTCTGCTCCTGTCCACATGAAATATTGATATCAATTGACAAACAGTTGATCAAAAATTTAAAGCAACATGGTCCAAAATGATGATGAAATTTATTGAAAATTTGATATTGTTTGCCAATCAAAGTGTTAAAGATCATTAAAATATTTTGTTTTATATTGATTGAATTGTTCTTGATAAAATATTGAAAAGTGTTATATGGGCTTCATTCATCGTTGCAGGAACCCTGTACATGTATAGGGTCCTTGCATGCATCATGCTTTGTTCAAGAATTGACCCCAATTTCATTGTATAAATTATCTTGATGCTGAACAATGATGCTGTGTTTACCCTGCTATGTATTGAATGTGGAAACTCTTATTCTCACTTTCTCATTTTGTCTTTATCATTCTACTACTCATCGTCATGTGGTATTGCATATTGATTGTCTGTTCCTTAATCACCTAATAAACCATATCATAACTAATCCATCTGTATTTTCACTGCCATCTATATTTTCGAAACTTTGTGATTTTGCACCCTATGTATAATTCATGAAAACTTGTAAAATAAAGTCAGTTTTCAGTGAATCCAACATATATGTGTCAATTTGTTTTAAAAATCAATGCCTACATTGAACTTTTTATAGTTTTTTTGCTTCACTCATGCTGTTCTGCTGAAAGAGGCCTTACACAAGGTTATGTTACTAGCTCCACTTTTTTGTGCCAGGTTCTTTGCTTTACTCATGCAGCTGTTTTGCTGAAGGGGGCATCACACAAAAGTTATCTAGCTAACTGCTGAGCTAAGCCATGCTTCTGATGATATATATTCTGCACATCTTTTTATTGACTTACATACTTAGATGAATAATAGTATATCAGATAATAGCGTATGTTTTCCAATTTCACAGATTGGAGTCGGTGTCTGTTACTGATTCGTCACAAGAGATGAGATTGGTTGAAGACATTACAGCACCAGGGGGTGTCAAACCTATTCCATCAAGGGAGACTATGACACAGTTCACAAAAAGGTATTAGTCATTCTCACCAGCTCATATGAAGTATACATAGATTGCCAGATAGATTTGTTGTGTATCTTACAACAGAGGTATTCTTTATTTTCAGATGTGCAACTTTGAACTGTGATCAAATTGTAGAATTTTTAAACAACAAATTAGCTTCTGAATCAAGTCAAGTTCAATTGGTAAGTACCGTATATTAATATCAGTCTAGGTGTTGTTTACATGTGTACAGCTAGCTGCCTAGGTGCTGTTTATATGTATACAGCCAGCAGTCTAGATGTTATTTATATGTATACAGCCAGCTGTCTAGGTGCTGTTTACCCTCATGTACAGCCAGCTGTTTAGGCACTGTTTACATGTACATAGTCAGCAGTCCAGGTGCCATTGACATGTGTACAGCTAGCTGCCTAGGTGCTGTTTATGTGTATACAGCCAGCAGTCTAGGTGTTCTTTACATGTGTACAGCTAGCTGTCTGACTTCTGTTTACATGTATATAGCCAGATGTCTCAGTGCTGTTGTACATAGCCAGTTGTCTAGGTGTTGTTTACATGTGTACAGCCAGATGTCTAGGTGATGTTTATGTCCATAGATGAACAACATAACATTTTACTCTCTGTATATTCATTTGATACAACACAGATCATTCTGGGTCAGTTTTACATGTAAAAAAACCTAGACAAATACTACATGCAAATACAATAATATGTCACTTTCTCTTTTGATAGAAATCTCTCTTTTTTTTGGAAGCCATGTTAAAATCAGATCTAGTCAGCTCAGAGTATATGTTAATCGTCGTCAAGGAGAACCTTGAACACCTATGTCAAGCATCGCAAGGCTCAACACAAACCAAATCTAAAAAGGTAAGGATATGCATTATTTAAAACACTTACAATCATACATTACAGAACGTAATTGTTTTGAAAGGGACAATTTTTATGTTTGTTGTACATGTTGCATGGAACTAACACAGTGCAATGACTGTGTGCTTTGTAATAAAATGGCCATTACTGGTAGTAATGATTGTCATGTGGGTTAAGAGTTCAATATTTACACACAGTCCCTCAAGGCACTGTGATTTATAGACAGGATGTGGTGATTGTGGACTCAGTCATTGCCTGAAGCATACATTAGTGTCACTTTATAACACTGCATGCTATCTTTGTATAGTTTACTTAGCTTTATTTAAATGAACTGTCATAAGAGTGGTTCAATGATTTCATGGAATTCCCGTCTGATGTCCCTACAGTTTCTGTTTCCTATTTGAATAAGTCGTTCTGCTGTCTGTCACATTACAACACCAACTCTGTCAGTATATATCACAATCTTGCTGGAGAAAATCCAATGATTATTATCTGATGGACTCAGTGGTAGAGACTCCAGTCACTTATGATGTCTATGGTCACCATAAAACAGAAAATGTATATTAAATGCAATCAGAGTCTTTACGGTATACCTATACAGATTTTAATCAGACTAAGGGGGGAATAAAATTATCCTATTACAAGAATTTATGTCCACATTTTAACACCATCACCTGCTGAAATCCTCTTCAAGTAGCCAAAATGAAAAGGGGAAAAACAGTGTCAGTGGCATGAATATAATAATAATTGTAATCACTATTTTTCCTCATTCCACTTCGGCCAAATAAATCCTATCCAGTATTAAACCCTATCAACCCATATTTTGGGGGAAAATAACAAATTGTTTGTTTTTATGCAAATTAGCTGCGGCCATTCTGTGAATGTTTTACCGGTAATTCAGTATATCATTTACTTTATTCTCTGTAGTGAATAAATAGCTTAGTTTGTATAAAATAAATCTATCATGTTGTTTTTCACTTCTATAGTGTAGTTAAACCGTAATTATTTTCTTGAAATAACAGTATAGCATTGGGAAAAATAAAATAAACTTTCTTTTTGACCTACAGATTCTACTACAGCTGGAAAGCATGCAGAAAACTTCCCCCACAATAGACCATCAACAACAAAACAATGAAATTCTTTTGACAGACCTTTCAAACTCACAATATGAAAATGTTGAAAGTAGGACCTTTTCTGGTGATCTTTTGGTGAGCCCAGAAAACCACTGTGTGTCGCTGGATACTGCCACCAGTGTTGATAAGACTCAAGCACAGACATCCTCATCGTTATTCAGTGGCATGAATCTACCAAGTGCCAGGAAAGTACAAACTGAAGTTGCACGAAAACAAACTGAAGTACAAAAAGTAACTGAACCTGAAAACAGTGAAGTGTTGCTTCTTGATTCACTTGACACTAACTCCCAAATAAATCAAAATAAAATACAAGAATCTGATATATTTACAAGTTTGAGTACAACTGATTTACAAACAGGTAACATTCTGAACCAACAGAGCTCAGACATAAATGACTTTTCTACGTGCAGTACAGGTGACCAGCCAACAGCCCCTATGATGTCTGCTTTCAATGATTCTTCTTCTGTGTGTATTACAAATGAACAACCAGTAGCCAATAAGATGCATGATCCACTGATGTCTAGGACTGCTAATATGAATGACTTATTGTCTTCTCTGGGAATGTCATCAGCAGAGAAAGTCGATGTGAAATCCCAGCCTTCACTAGTCACTACACATAATATCAACACTGGGTCAATAACCGGTCAAACTCCTCAACACACAATAGCTGTAAGTATTGAATCAATACAATCTATAAAAGAAATCATGCTGAGGTTCTCCACAAAGTACCGGTAGTTGACACTTGTATATTATAGCATGATGGTTGTAATTACAATTATGATGTTCACAGAGCCTCTGATATTTTTTTAAGAACACTGTGAATGTACATACCTATAATTACTTAATGTATTCAAATTGCATTCAAGTCTGCTTTAGTAAGGCACACTCTAATTGGCTGACAAATTCTGTCAGAGGAGAGCCTCTTGAAAAATGATTTGCTTACTAGGTAATAGGAAGCGAGTACAGTAAGTTGGTGGCCATAGCAGTATATTAAAAGGTTTGGCACCTCTACTTACTGGCTACATAAAGGAAGTCTTGATATCATGACAGATGAATATAATAATTTCAACTTCGATATCAATTATAAGTGTGGTTTATATCAAAGTGGGTGTTGTCTATTTGCAAATGCTTGTAACTCATTACATGTTTCTGTCATGACCTGTTTTAATATTTCTTGTATCTTTGCTGCAGGCATTTCCTCAGTTGTCATCTGCTCATCTCAGCGGAAAGTCAACAATACCTCTGAAATTTGGACAAAAACAGAGCAACACATTTGGATTTATAGCGAGCAACGATGACAAATGTAACAAGCCAGACTCTTTTGATTTTGTACAGGATGCAATGAAGGCAACAAAGAAATGATTGTTCATTACATTTATGCTGACTTGTTGTACTAGTGAGCTACTGCCTAAAGAACATTCTAACTTGTGTATTGAAATGTGGATGCCATTTCATGTAGTGCCTTATCCAGACAAATATATGGTTCATCTTATTTTAGTTGTCTATAAGCTATCACACTCGTGTTCTGCCGTGAAAACATTTCCTATAAATTGGAACATATACATGTATGCATATTTATTATGACAGCAGCAGATAACAGCACTGGTATTTTATCTTCAGGTGCTAACCAGTGACTGCACACACAACATAACCAAATGTAACCGAGAGAGAAGTTGACTAGATTTGTAATATTACTAAATCCATTTGCACACTTGGTGTATAGTAACTAAAAACCTGCGTCACTTCTCTGGGCTGTGTTATGTCATGTATCTCTCTACAATGTTTGATATTTCTGATGCCAGACTTCAAGTTTTAGCTCTTTTTGTATACAACACAAAACAGGAGCTTATGTCAAAGCTGTTTGTGTTTGTCTGCCCTTAAATAATTCAACATCTCATAAACTGCTCAATAAATTTTGATACTATGGGATAATTGCAATAGCTGATTGATTTTGGGTGCAAGTTTGTGCATATTAATAGCTTAATTTGCATACTGCTCATCTAATTTTATGAAAATTTTGATACAAAAATACTGCATTAATCAAGTGTTTTAATAGTCTACAGTAATTAGTTCTTCAAGCTCTATGGGCAAATTACTTACTTGCGTGTAAATAAAATAATGTAAAAATACCTTGATGTTTTAAAATATTTACTTTTCATTAAATTTTAATATTTTACTGTATTTATGGTTTTATTATGAATAAATGTGCGAGCAATGTTGTTGAAGAATTGTATGTTAAAATGCTAAAAGCAGTTAAAATTCTGGAATTTAGTGTCCCACAAACCCATCTTCTGTTTTACCAGTACAATTGGTTGGAGTACAATCAAATTTTAATTGCTAACATTTAGTACAGCATACCCTAGATTGTCCCTACAGTTTGTCAATGTGGAACAACCTCTTGATCACATACCTCATTTCTTGGCCAATCAACTATTTCACTCTGCAAGCATTTCTTGATTCTGATTAATTGACCTCCAGTTTTCCTATTTATAGCAAGCCCCTGTCCCCGTCTTGGTTGTACGTTTGTTAATTTCACATGTCTGTCTTACAACTGTCCCAGTGTAAACCACACCTTGGTTCAGCCTGTACTGCTTTCGTCTGGAGTTGACCAAGATCAATAGAAAAGTTGGCAAGGGTTTAAACCAACAACCTGGCTAATGCAGATTCAGATGCAGGCTCATTTAAAGGCCTTTTCAAGTTGGTAAATCACAACTCGTTACGTGTTTATGTCTTGGTTCAAGAAAATTAGTTTACTAGAACCTCTACCCCCCCCCCCCAAAAAAAAAAAAACAAAACAAAAAAAACGGGCCATCCTGTAAAAGTAAATGCCACAATTGTGGTCATTCTCAAATTCACAAGGCAGAGCAGGTTTATATGGTTGCACAATACTTGCAACACTGAACACTCATTTATATACAGATCAGTCAGAAATTTATGAATCAAAACTGCGCTACCAAGTTTTCAACTGATTGTCAAACTAGGTTCAAAAACACACTTGATGATAGGAATGATCAGCCATTGCTATGATCAATGCATCAATTCTATGTATTGATAACGAAAGTCATTTTGTATTCATGCAAATTCTGTATGCACTGATGAAGTAGCTGCATTTATTCCATTCCAAGTAGTTCATTTCAACTTGTAGCTATGGGGTACACTGAAAACACCATGGTTACAAGTGTGAATACCAATACACTTGTATAATTATTTGTATAGGAGTCTCCCCTTAGAGCTCCACTGTGGATACTTCAAGACAAAGGAAAAAAAAGAAGATCCTACATCTATTTTCACTGCTGATCCTAAACCTTTTTGACATAATTGAGAAAATGTCACAAAATTGGGCCATGCTTTGAATGAAATTTTACAGAAGTTTAAAACTTTGCAAAATTGGGTAATGTAAACTTTAAACATGATCTACTCTGATCTACAAAAACAGCAATAAAGAAAAGATGTGTAATTTATTTAAAAAAAAATCCTTACTTACCTATTTTATTTTTGAAAAACATTTTACAGGAACCAACAAATTTTTTCAATTTGTCCCAAACCATGGAGTATTTACTCGCCATGGTTTATATGTACAAGAAATAAAGAGGCACTGCTTACAACTCGCAAACATTTAATACAGACTCGTCATAATTACAACACACTGAGTCTACTCACACGAATGGTAAAGTGAGCAAATAAGAAAAACTTAAAATCAGGAAAAAACATGGCTGCAGTAGAGCACCAGATTGTATCTAGATGTTTCTGAAGAGATATCACACCAATCACTACCAATGGTATACTCTGTTACGTTCATGCTCTGTAAATAATGAGTAAATTATGCATGTTAATATGAGGGAAGTCAAAACCTAAACACAGTTAAATGCAACTGTATAATTCAGCAGCAAACTTGGGATGGTTTGCATATTTTTGTTGTATCCTTTTTTTCATTTCAAGAATAAGTACCTATAACCATAAAAAAGCCCCAAATACTCAACATATTATTGAATTAGGAACAAGAAGCTTTAGTTTAGAGGAAGAGGAACTGTTGCCAAATACACTGCCATATGACCCAATAAAAGGAAATATGTACAATAAGTATACTAGGCGTTAATGTAGCACTACTGCTTGGCCAAAGTTGCTACTGTCATAAAGTTCAACTATGGTTCAAAAATAGTGCACACTCTAAACTTGGTAAAATGCAGGTTACCAGATTTGCTCTATTAAAGTGCACACATTGTTAAAAGTAAATGACAGATCAAAATATTTTTTTATTTTTTTTGTTCCAGAAAAGATTAAATGTAATTCTGAGTTTATGTTTCTATTGGAGATGCGCTACTAATAGAGCAAATATACACCGTGTTGTAGACATGGACATGCAAATAACTGTCTAGGAACAATTAATACCATAAAGATCAGAAAGTTTGTTCAAAGTTAAATCATGATTTGCATGATCACAGTCTCATTGCATACGCAAACTAAATAAAACCAGTGATGTGACAGATATATTGGGTATGATTTTAGGGATTACTGCACGACAGAATACCAACCAGACAAGCAGATTGCACCACGTACTGTACAATAATACTATGTGGACCTGAACACCTATGATAGCTCATAAAATTTTGTATCAATACACCAGTCTTGTCAGCAGAACGTTGCATTTATAACTTACTTGTTTCGCCGTATCTCCAGAAATAACTAACGCCAATGTAGACAGCAATAAACATTCCTACTGGTGCAATTGATCCTCTCTTTACATTTACATATTTCAACACAAACTTTGAATGTGCTAAAAAGGAAAGAAAACAGAGCTTTAGGTCTACACATCAATACTGTGGAATACTTTATTTTCACTGGAATTAATTTTCACTGAAAAGGTTTTTCGTATGGAATTTATTTTCACTGATTTTTGAGTTGTTTAATGTGAAATATAAGAAAAAAAGCATATTCGCTGAATTTTATTTTCACGGAATCATCCCTTCTGCAAAAACAGCGAAAATAAATTCCAAGCGAAAATAAAGTATTCTACAGTAATGCACCATTGACTTGCAACATCCCAAGATGCAACAAAACACGGATGGGTAACTGCATAGGATCAATAGTGGAATCCGAGGGATTACAATGCAACCATTTTTGCTTCAGAGAACCAAAGTGATCTAAAATGGCCAAAATTTGATTAACTGATTCTGATGCAATTTATAATTTCATTTTGAATATTTATCCCAATCGACAAAGATTCCTGACTACAATATATTGAAAGCATGTATGATGATATCAGCTGATATCACTTGTTAGTACAGCGGGTTGACACAAGTAATATGGTTTTCGGAATCAGCAAAAATCTAAAGTGTTATAGTGATATTTTTTTTCAAAATGAACTTTGTGTCATCATTAATACGAGTTATTGTCATTTCAACATGCAAGTAATTGTTGTTATAATCCAGTCTGGATTTCTCGTGTTCTAGTCATTAAGAAACAGAAACGGTTCCGTTGTATGATTTAGATTTTTTCAGCTTATTGTTAGAGTACGCATCGCCATATTAAGTGTTAAATATCAGCAGAGGTACATTACTTGGGGTTTGCAACTACGGTGACATGATACCAAGATCCCGTCACAATCTCGCTCTCGCATAAGCGTTTCAACTCAGACAAATGCGAATGCGCATGCCCGTGATAACTAGGATACTGGGATGTCCAGGTGGATCAAAATAGCTGCCAACGATATGACGGATTACGAGAACTATATTTTCTGTACATTTTCGATGTAGTACATTTTTCAAGAAAAGTTTTATTTTTTCATTACAAACCTTGATCATTGATATATGTTATGTCAGAAGGTCGTAGCCTCAGTCTCGCTATCTACGAGAAGAGACTTGAATGAGATCTTGACATGATGTTACCATACAGTACTATGCGAGTTGCAAACCCCAAGTAATGTACCTCTGATATCAGTTATATCTCGCACTAAACGTTAATGCTGTGAGTAAAATGCACCATGGTCACGTGATGAAACATGTGTATTGTTTTCCTCTTACCTCTCCCGAAGGCAGCACCAACATTCTTGGGTGCCAATGAACAACTAGTTATCCATTTTGGAAGCTGACCTAGTCTGACTTCGCTTAATCGGGCAGGTACTAGGTTGAAGAAAAAATAAAGGTATACAGTGAGGTCGATTGATACTCGACAAATTGAAATAACCCCTATTTTACTTACCAGGGAACATGAACAAGTTGACACACTAAAAATATAAATTTTCAGCCACCATGCCCCAACTTTTTACTGGCAACTGTGGTTAAAAAAAATTAGTACTAGTACCTCATTAAGGATGTGAACCACAAACATTATTCTCAAGTTCAAATCCTGAGAGCTCACAAATACGCTGACTCGCATCTGGCCTCGCCGACAAATATATCAAACACGTTACATTTCCTCCATTACAAAAAATCCCTACTACATTTACTACCAAATTATTGCAAGTTACATTATTAATTGGCCTGAGTTTATCGTAGCCATGATTCATGCACTAAACACCATGAAATTTAGTTGACGAGAGAAAGAAGAGTTCACAACTTACGCTTGTCCGCCATGTTGGATACCGGCTTCACGTAACCCCGCGGATGGATACAGAACACCGTACAGAACATATAGCTCTACAGTAAATGTGAAGTACATTCAATACGTGTACACTAGTACAATGTTTAAACACCTATGCTGACAGTATAGTTGTCTCGGAATGTCAGATAAACAACAAAATCTGACATATAACGAGTTGCTAGTGAAAATGAAATGTTTACATCCTCGGAAGGATAACGCAGTTCATCGGTTTGCACGATTTTTTTTTTGCACGTACGTTTCAGATGGCCACAAGAGGGCGAAATACATAATTTCTCAAACTTTGATATTCACGGAATATTTACTAGACTATAATTAGAGCGGTAGTTGTTGCGCAGCTTGTGTTCTAATTTCATGTATACGTAACTATCCAACAGGACTCGGCGTAGCGACCACCGCCCTTTAAGAACCAGTTTCTCGAAAAAACAGCATAACTGAACTGAAAGAATATATCTTTCACCAAAATCAATATCGAGTTGTTTGATGGTAAACTCTCCCAAAGGACACCTTCATGATCTTTAACTTCGAACCGAAACATTTGGAAGTTTTGTTTATTTTTAATCACGGACACTTATGACAGGACTTGAAAATGAAAACAGTGCTTTATTTGCAGTTGTCAAAAATCTGATGTGATATGACAATCTTACATTTACTGTAAATTTTAATTTCATCTAACAAATAAACCGCCCCCAAAATATATATATGCAAATTTCTAATTAATATGCTGAATATTTAATAGAACTTAACCAAAAACATACCGGAGGATGAAACGGTTTCCCTGTGTATGATTCTTAGGTAACAAGTCAGGTGATTAGCTCTTGTGGTAAAGGATGGATCACTTAAAATCCTGGGATGCAAGATTGATAGAGGGGTGGGGGTCTAAACTGATTTTTTAAAACAATTGCATCATACAAAGAGTCAGGTGATTAGCTCTTGTGGTAAAAGATATGGATCACTTAAAATTCTGGGATGCAAGATTGATAGGGGGTGGGGGTCTAAACTGATTTTTTTTAAACAATTGCATCATACAAAGCAAAAACATAAAATTTACCCCTCCACTATATTTTCCAAAACTTCTTCAGTGTTTAAAATGGTCCCCTAGCAGAATAAGCCTTGTACTCACACACACATATGCTAATTTTGTTCTCTGTTCAAGGGATGGCAAAGGATTGTTCTTGTGATATCTATTTTTGCTTCATAAATTTGTTCTCCTCGAACATAGAAATGTAACTACAATGTATTTAATTTTAGCTGCATTCGATTCTAATTTCATTAAAAATGAAGAATTACCAAATTTCATTGAAATGTAATGATTAGTACTTGAGATATCAGTGTAAATTATGCAAATTAGGTAATTAATATGCATGGATTTGTATCCAAAGCTAATCAGGTCTGCATATTGTCCCAGAGGATCTATGTACCACATTTCATCAAAATCAATTAAGTGGTTCTTCAGATATCAGTGGAACAGACAGATAGAGACACACACACACGCACACAGGAGTAAAAAACACTGTAAAAACATTTTCAATTTAAAAAAAAGGAAATTTATTAAATAACCTGTGCAAACTTTAATTACACTTTTATATGACAAATTTAACACATAACATAAGTGACATGTAAAGGGAGGAGGTGGGGAAGTATCATAATTCTCTATGCCAACAATATACTGGAAAACAATTTATTTTTGCTGGCATTTAATTTCACCCTTTTAATTGCTTTGAGCAATTTCACTGGATTATAAGTTCACAAACTTGGCTGGGAAACAACAAGTTCTATTGTTATTTTACATATCGTGTGAATTTAATTCAGCAGATTTTACTTATAAGTGAAAATGGCAAAATTAAAAACCAGCAAATAATTATTGTGTTTACTGTATACAGCATTAAGGAAATGTGTCCAAATTACATGTCTCAATAGATTGCATGAAGAGTTCTTCTGGTGGTTTGTTCCCAGGCCTATCAGGTGTCACTTTTGGTATTTTCGTTTGCAATATTGATGTTTTGTTCAGAAATAATATCCGGCTATGGGCAATTACGACCCAAAGATCAAAAGAAAGATTCATTATCTTGTAAAATAATATGCCCTTAGTTACATAACCATGTACATTCTCTGTCCATAGTTAAAAAAAACATACAGACTTAAAATGTCAGCAATGATGGGATACAAAGCAGTATTGAAATACAAAGTTGTAGATAAATGTATGCTGTGTAATATTCAAGATGATACATTTCATTTCTAATGATCATTACAGATACGAGGTACTAGTACATACAGAACTATATATACATATCGCAAAGTGGTCTATGCAGGTCTGTAGCAAAGCATCTAAAAGTCCAGCATTGTTGGGTATTTAAACTTTAAAAGAGAATTTGCAATACTTTTTTACCTTCTTCAAATTTAACTGCATTATTTTGGGAGTAACTACCCTGCGAGTCTAAATGGCAAACCAAATGTGATGTGTATAATAGGCAAACTGTTCTTCCTTTGAGAGAACTATCAATTATTAAAAGTATATTACTGTAAAATCATTTATGTTCATTGGCATCTAATTTTAATATTTTCAGGGTTTCAAGTCGAGCGATACAAAAATCTTATTTTACTTGTTCATGTAGATTTAATTTGGCAGATTTTACCCTAATTAACCCCCCAAAAATAATTAATGCAATTAGAGTAAATGACTAAAAAATTATTGAACATCATATTAATCTCCCCAACATTTTGGCACAACATTTTAATATAATTTTTTTGTTTAAAAGAGTTAGTGACCAATTATGTAATTTAGTATTCAGACAATTGTTCAATTATGTATTGTGGCAGGTCCAATTGGTTGAAATACAGTAAACCGTTCAACTTTCACTGCAAGATTTAAAGATTTTCATGGCACACAAGAAAATTGTTTTTTTTAGTCGAATTTGCACTGCTACAAAATTTGTAATTTTCAAACAAAATTTTGTCTTGCAAGAGTAAAGCGATTTACAGTGCACTGTGGGTGGACAGCTGACTGAATAGGAGTGTCACTAGAGATGGAAAATATGGAGTGTGTATATATAGATTTGGTATTCTGAGCTACAATACTGCAAAGGTTAAAGGGCGGTGTTTGCCACGCCATGTTCTGTTCCTGTGTATAAGCCCAACTATTCAGGTGCACAGCAACTTCCACAGCTTAAAATAGTTATCATGTAGCCAATAATATAGAAGGTGCTCCATGTTCCTAATTTGTCAAGCCAATATTAGTATTATCACAGTTTTATTCACCAAGTTGGTATTATTACAAAAGCTATGAAAAACAAATGCTATGTACTTCAAAAAGTAAAACATAGGTAGTCGTTCTGAGAAGTTCTATCAGAGTCAAATCATGCATTTCCATGACAATTTCTTTTTTCCACTCAACTAGCCGATGATATTACTAATTTGAAATGCGTCAATCGACAACCATTGCAATAGGATTAAATTGAATTTAATAAACTGCTGTGAATGATATCATTCCTTTATGTGTTGCAGCAAATCTGCATCATCCAGTCTGTAAAGAACCCAGATACACTACGCGAGTGTAAAGCACAGCAATACAATGAACAAGTGGAGGAACAGGCACTATAAATAATTAACACACAAGTATTTTGAAAAATGCCATCTAATTTTAACATTCACCAAGTAAATCAAAATTGAATGTAAATCATTTATAAATAGCTGAAATAATCCTACAACCAAACCAAATGCTAATTATTTACAGAATATTCCTATTTTACAAGCGATAAATAATTTATATATTATCAAATAATAAACAGACTAATCATTTCTAATTTTACCGCTACTAAGGGTTCTAACTACCACTGAATTTAAGACATCAGATTTACAAATTTAATGAATTTTTTTTTTTTTTGCAAAGCCCAAATATTATTTCACATGCAACTTGTGTACATTTATAATCTGGATATTCTGAAAGCAACAACTAACTGAATAACAGTTTTAAATAAAATACACTTTCAGCTTTCATCATGAAATTAAATAATTCTGTATACGTGTCAGTTTTATACCATTTTGGGGGTATTTTTGTCAAAGTATGTCATCAAGTTTTGTTTTCTGTTCACCATATTGCCTTAACAAGATTTTTTGAGAATTTGATTTGGGTATGAACCAGCACTATAAATAAGTAGTGCGGTATGAAAAAAAAAAATATGCACATCTGAAGTTTCAGAATTGCCTACCAGCGTTTTGATAAAGGCAAATTTCAACTGTTCAACAAGGGTAACTACCGGTAATCAACTATTATTGTTGTAAAAAGGGTACATATCATTGTAATATCGGTAAGACTTGATGCATGCCAAAACTTGCCACAGGACATGGCATCAATGAAAAGACATTGCACATGTACTGATCATAGGCCAAGGATTCCAGGTTAGATTTTCAAAATGTGCGAGGGGTTGAAAAAGAGGGAGGGTGGGGTACACCAGAGACAGGTGATTATCTGATTATTCTCAATTATTTAAAAATAAGGAAATTGAAGGTACAAACTAGTGAGGTATCTACATGTTTAAAGTTCTTCTATTTGAGAAAGTGACAGAATGAATCCTTGAGACAACAAGTATCTGAAAACCAGAAATATTAATCTAGACTTTTTTAGGACGCTTCTGAAATACAAATTTTTTTTGCATTGCTGAAGTGCGTGCTTAAAACGAGACAGTGATGTAAGAAAAAATGCAACCTGGAATCCAGTCTCTTTGGAGGTGGAGTTATTTCCTAAGATTTCAACACCACAAAATATAACAGAATATCAACAGTAAATGAAAGATATTTCACACATAAATATCTTGTAAACATAATTAATAATTAAACTGCTATGATATATCTTCCGAGATATGAGAATGTTTTCTCGCCTTCCTTTGAAAATGTGCTTCTCGTAGAATTTGATTAATTTGATCATAGTGACTATTGTTTGCATTAGAATGCACAGCATCATGGTGACTCGATAGTCCTGCATTCATCCCAGATGTACCAGGCGTTACGTGATTGCATTGGTTACCATGGAGACAATTACTCTGTGGAAGACCAGGTGAACTCTGCACCGATGAACTAGATCCTATTCCATTTTGAAAACTGCTACCATCCTGGAGAACAAAGGAATGCATTATTAGAACTAAAACCAAAAAATCTACGAACTAAACTAAAATTAACCTAAACATATTTGTTGACTGACTGACTGACAGATTGTCGTTAAAACAATGACAATACGTTTTAATAATATATTACTTGTGGGAGATGTTTCAACACATTTTATTTTAGCTACATGATTATTTTTATTTGAAGAGAAAAAATTGACAACTTATAAATAATTTCATTTGATAATATATCTCGATTGTAACAACAATAATATAATTTATTGTGAAAAAAACTATAATTATGAAAACAAATACATTTAATATGTAATATTAAAAATATGTTTATTTTAACAAATACTGCAGTGTTTGCTGCCAAAAAGAAAAAGAAAAACATATTTTGCTAATTCTAATCAAAAAGAAATAGCAAACAAAATAATTTAAACATGTTGAAAAATATCCATATTAGCACTATTATTATTCTCCAAATGAAAGATCAAAAATAATATATTATTAAACTTTCGTTACAACATGATGTGGCATATTTATGAGAAATTACAGTAACACATCAACAATTACTGCACGGTTATAGTATAGAAGGGCAGTATTTATTTATGCACATGCATGGTTTTATTGCAAAATGTACAGCAAAGAGTTAAATATGCGCATTCAAATATTCCACAACAGTGTTACAGTATGCTGAGAGTAACACTTTAAGTTATACATGTTGTATACACAACAAATTTCCAAGGTAAAATAATATACCGTAGGTAATATATTGCTATGTGGTTGTTATGAAATGAGTTTTAATGAATACAAAAATAACATGTAATTGTAATATGTATGTCAACATAAAAATAAATTGTGAATGCATGTAACACATGTTTGAAATGCCAATTTTCACCCAAGGTTAATTGTTGTGGCAAGGTTAACACAATGAGATGCTGAGGATTATAAACAGAGCACTCATATATACATAGACAGACTACAATGTCAATCAAAACAGAATATGACAGCAGTCATCATAACATCAAGTAAAAAAACTGTTAATAGGAAATACATACCATACATCCATGGTTTTGACTATTTCCATTGAATTCTGCAGCATGTCCATTCAAAAGTGGACTGCGAAAAGAAACCAAAATGAGAATAATTACAATTCAGTGAAAATGTGTGGCAAATTGTTTTTTTTCTGATGTCTGCTCTGTAATTAAACTAGCTGAATGCTATTGACAATACGGTACATAATTAATAACATCGAATCCTAAGGCATTGAGGTGACTTGCAACTCCAACTTTGTACTTTACTCGTATAAATGTTACATCACATGCAGATAAAAATATATCAACACTTTATTTTGAATACTGTGAACTAATTAATTATTCATTGATTTTAATTTCAATATATTCGCTGATAAGTGCAATCCGCTAAATTAAATCCATGCGAACATAAGAACTTGTTGTTTCACCGGAAAGCTCAAAATATTCAAAGTTATATTAAATAAAATGCCTAATCCCACCTAAAATTGAAAATTTCACAGTTGACCAAGTGTAGGTTTTTGTCCAATGCCCACTAGATTGATTAGCAACATGATTTAGAAACATTTTCTAGTTCTTAATTAAGATAATTCTCACAGGGAGTTACAAAAATAGAAAACATTAATTTGATTAGAAAATTATTCATCTCTTTCATATTAATATTGAATTTTATGTCATCCTTTTTCTAAAATTGGCCTCCTATACAGCCTTGTAAGTAAATGATTTATTCCATCATTTGGACTAGCAAAATACATTGACACAAAAATACTTCAGGAAAATAACAATTTTGTAATTTTTCACTCTTTTTCAATTTTTCATTTCATTTCAAAAAACTTGTTTTCACATTTCTAATGGTTCTTCAATGAAAAACACAATTTTTACTAGAATAAGACGTGCAAAACCGCACCGCTAGTCACACATTGCTCTATTGACATAACAGCAGTCCATATGTTTATATACTGAATTGGACATACTTCACAAATTTAGGATGTTCAAGTGTGCCTATGCATACATCTCACTATACTGTGTTCCTGTGTCAAGTGCAGTTTTTGTCTATAAATTTCTTTAAAAACCATGCCATACTTGCAAATAAGTCTGGCACTTTAGCTCCAAATACAAGATAAATCTTTGTGCTAAATATCGAAAAAAATCCATCTAGTTTTCACTGAATTAGAAAATAATGTTGTTGATGCAGTGATACCTATCATCAAGTAAGTGACAGTACATGCACATATACTGTGTATGTATAGTGTAAACCTGATTAAATCTCAGTGAAATTGCTAAAACATCAAATAAATTCTATGGTCTAACAGTATAATATGACAGTTTTAATAGAGAAGAGGAGGAAGTAACAATGTATCTTAAAGCACCACAGATTTTTTTGTTTATCAACAATAATTTCATCCACATGGCATTGCTGTTATTCTTCGAAAACAAAATGGCAGCTAGGAGAGTAGCAGCATCAAGACAGCTTTGATATTTACAAGGAAATTGAAGCAGCACTCCAACTTTAAGAAGCAAATTAATTGTGGCCAATGAAATAGACAATGAAAAGTTTGATAAAGCAAAACATTATGAGAAATTATGTCATCTTTGTTGTGATGGGACCCATCACATGTCATTCAACCTTTTCACCACCAGTCCTTGCTTTTCATCACAAATTAGTCAAAATAGCCAAATTTTTTGAATAAACACTGAAAACTGACTAAAATTTTGTCTGTTGCAAGAAAAGGCAAGAAAGTCTGGTGTTGAAAAAGTTAAGGTCAAAGGTATCTATGGAATTGCACCGGCGCCTTTTTACTTTCATGGTTGTTTTGATAAACTTAATTTCAACAGCTTCAGACTGATGAAGAATTGATTTTCCAACAACATCCAGCGCCATCCTGTGCACAGCTATATACTACATTGTGTTCCAGTTTGCATTACGTGTAGAAAACTGAAACGAGCTGCACACTGCTTGAGTATAGGTTTATGTCAACACCATTCTCTTTCAACAAATACACTGTACATAATATCTCAATATACTGTCAAAACAGACAAAATACGTAACGATGCCATCACACGCCAAAGCCCACGACTCTGACTATTTAGGTTGACGAACTACGCAATCGCACATCGAATGTCCCAAAGCATGTAACTGAGTGTGCTGGTGAACGCACGACAAGCTTGACTAAAAATCACACAAAATCTCTACAAAATCCTAGTTTTTCTCTGCAATAAGATAGTCAAATAGTGAACGTAAACGTGGCAAACCAATCAGTTCACGAATATTGCCGTGTATCTTGTTCCCCTGACAAGTTATTGACGTAAATCAGGTAAATTGAGGAGGAAGGTACCCATCCAGATGGAGGTCGACATACAATTATGGCAAGAGGTAGACTTACAAAAATGTCAACCTCTAATACGGTAATCTGATTGGCTGTCATGGTCATGAGGTATAATAAACTGAAATCTTGTCCAACTTGTAAACTAACATCAAAGTTATATTCTACATATATTCATGTTTGTGTACAAAATACCATTCTGACTGTTAAAAAGAGTGATTACACAGAGCACTTTGATTCGATGCATTCCCCTCTAACTCGCTTGCACAATGGGGGAGGGGGTGCAACATGCACTCTGTGAAAATGAATTGGCTAACTAAACTACCACTTATGCACTGAATTTTGAGAGTGTCTAATTACTACTGTTCGATTGAAATTTGAGTGTCCAACCATCTTTGGTCAACAACAGGTACATCTAGCAACTAATCTGGTCATAGCATAATGCAACGGTTCTGTTGACTTTGAGAGCTACTGCAAAAATAAAAATGACTAATTTTCACTGGGTTTAAATTTCGCCGATTTACCATTTCAGGCATATTCAGTAGGTTTTAATGTGTTCTATGCTAAATTTTACATATTCTCTAGGTTTTAATTTAGCGCATTTTCCAGTCAGCGAAATAAGAAAAATTAAAACCCAGTGAATAATTAACCTCTGTACAGTATTATGATTCACTCAGGATTTTTTTCTTTCAACAATACAGAAGCATGTAGGTCATTCTCACTCCTTATTGCTATAATTAACTCGCCTGGGTATTGGGTAAAATGTTTTTACTGAAACAAATATTGCTCTTACTAAGGTTCATCTTGCCACCAGTTACATTCAAAATGTTCGATTACTTGAAGACCATTGAATTTAGACAGTCATGCTGCCTGTGCACATAAAATACAAGCCTTAAATGTGGCACCTTCCTGTTAAATGTGGTTATCTGAGCCATCTCTCGTCACCCCCGAGGAAATGCATCTTTGCGTGCAGTTAGCATTTCTGAAGTTTGAGCTAAAGCTATGATTTAAAGACCTGGCTGCGACATATTTATTATTGAATACAGAAGATGCAAATGATCTCAAGTTTTTACCAGTGCATTATGGACAATAATATTTAGTTAAAAGAATAATACTATTAATGTATTTGACCTTACACTTGATTCATTTAGCAGGTGTTAAAATTTATCATAGATAATATATGTAAAACATCCCTCTCTGGAGGGGTGTGTTATGTAACGTTTAAATACCTCTACCAGGGTACTGACATGACTGAGACAGGCCACCAAGACTTAAATAACGTTCACGCGGAAGGTCAACTCTCAATTTTGCACAATGTGTGATGTGGGATCAGTCGTCAAAAAAATGGAAAAACACAGAAGTGGAATATATGCGACTAGAACCACGCCTCTCTCTCTCTCTCTTTTCCACTGTTTTGCATAAGCCGTACTTGCTGGGTCAGCTGAATACAGTACCTGGGAATGGAACGATCTGCCAGGCCGTCGTGCACTCTTTTCGGGACTGGAAACAGTTCCACGTCATCTTCTAGGCTTCTTGAGCGTTTTCGACTATACGAAAAATGATAAAATAATTAAATGAACATTTCAATTTCAAATATAACGCCGTGTCGTTAACTAGATGGGTCGGTCGGTTGGTGGGGTCTACATGACATGGCACTGTTTGCTATTTTCCTGCATTCCTCGAGTAAATACCACTGTCTACGCAAACTTTACTAAATTGCTATGGACGACATATTGCTAGACAGTAGATTGACAGTACCTATCCAAAATGTTGACGTTTAAGCTATTTTTTTGCCATTTACCTTCCTTTTGTCTGTGTCATCTTCTCTCCATACCAGCTGCCGATTATGGTGAGTTCTGTTTACGTCTGCCGGGTGTCTGCGGCTGCGTGAAATGGAGGAAATGATATAGCGCCCCCAACGACAACATTCCATTAGTAGTTTATAAATAAATAAACGTTGCTCGGACTGATAAATATGATATATAAATATCAGTACAAAATGATTTGGAAAGATGCAGTGTCGTCGTGTCGTCGTTGTATAATTTAAAATAAGACATTTTGTAAATCAGTAATAGCTGTACGTTATAACACTTTCTTCTATGCTATCGATAAAGAGCCATTGCTCGAAACGTCTAGCTATTTTTAATAGTTATTTAGGACTACGATTACCAAATATTATCTTCTATATAACATTCCATTAGAACGTTTTATAAAGAATGCCAGCGAACTCGGAGTTCTATGAAGGCGACGTAACAACAAAACAATATGAACATGTTTTGGGGTAAAACAAAACAATACTTTGTTTATTGGCTTTCATAACTATACAATATGGATCTATAAAATTATATTAGCTTCTTAGAATTATTAGTTAGTTCCCAGCCCCGGGTTCCAACCGGGTTCCCCGCTCCTGTTTAAAATTGTTCATCGATTTTAATTTCGACAATTTAATTTATTCATTCATTCATGCATAGAATCATACTACTTGATATGTTGTTGAACAAGCCCGTCTCACGTGCCAATGCATTTTCTTTTTTAAAAGCTGTAATTGGGAACCTGAAACTACACAACGAGCATTGTGACCAATGTGTTGGCAATATATCTCATGATTTAAATTTAATCTACTAGTATATTGGAAATTAAGCCGAATAACAAGGCTCCGCGGAAGACTTGGCCATGGGTTCTGAAAAAGTCAGTACACACTCAACGACAAATTAATAAATTGCAGCAATTTTGTTTTCACTGCTGCCTTACACTAAGCCCAAACAAAACGCAGATAATTGTGTGTTTTTTCGTGTGGGTGGTTATCTAAAGCAAAGCGAAAAATGATTTTATTATCGCGATCATGAAATCAAGGTTGGCCCGAAGTACAAGTATCTTGGTGTAATATTTTCGTTCAGACTTTGTTAAACAATTCAGCACAGAGTAAATATAAATGCATTAGCTACTGGCTGAATATACTACAAACATATACTCATTTATATCCTCATAAATGTTATTTAATATTAAACAATTATCCGACCAACGTGTCGGTAACATCGGCAAATTGGGTGTACAATGTGAACATTATGCTTTTTTGCGTTGAATTTAGCCAAGTATCGCAGTTCACACAGAAAATTAAAGATTGTGCGCAACAAGTGTGGTACGACGACACTGCATCTTTCCAAACTCCAATCCTATAAGAATTTTAAGTCGTCAATTGGTCAAGAAAAATATTTATCATGTTTTCAAATTCAGAGCTGAGTTATCGAGGTTACGTTGTTTTTCTCATGCGTATTGAAAGGAAGGATATGAAAATGCTACCAACCCCATCACAGATTGTGTGAATACTGTGTTGAACGCAATCAATTTTATATTAAGAACGGATTTATTAGAACATTTCTGCATAAATGATACTAACCCCGCTTACAACAAATTTATCCCACTCATGAATTCCAAAAATGATAACAATTTAAACCAGTTACCTAGTTTTGTATATTTTGGCATGAAAACAGAGAGTGAATGTATTTCACTGTTACACCTTAAGCTTAATATAATTAAATGAAAGCGTATTTGCTCGTTTTGCTTTTTGTAATAATACATAAACCTATTGTACTTAGATATAAACCACCGTGATTAATTTTCTATAGTGTACAAGATGACTCGCATCCGGCCCTCATATGCTATGAGGGGCGAAACGTCTACCAAGTTTGAATCGTTTCTTAGGTGACGATTGTCAAATACTGCCTACAATGTATCATATTTATCAGTCCTAAGAGTATTTATTAATTTATTATATTTGTTGATTATGTTATCTGTCTATTAACTTTCAGCATGTACGTTTTTATTTTCATATTTCCAAAGACCACAACAAAAACACGTTTCAATTCACGCCAATCAAACTATGTACCAATTCCACATGGCACTAACGCCTCGTAAGACATTTGCTGACACAAAGTTACGTAACTTTAAAATGTCCGGAAAAATTATTTATATAGATTTCAATCTGCGTGAAAGTTTGTTTGCTTTATTTACAAGTAAGGATAAACCGGGGTACCCATTTAGTAAAAGTTAAATGTTTTGATCGATAATACATAATAACAATGACTCATTTTAGTTCAACATCCTTTCAGAATTTGTACAGTCCATGAACTTACATATAGCTTTTTTGCCAGGGAACGAGTTGGATATCGCATAGTAAACACCCTTCCATCTCAAATAAATTGAGAAACTCGACTAGACAAAAAGGGAAAAGGTCAACTTGAAATGCTGGAGTGGGAATGGAAACCACAGTGATCAAACAGGTAAATATTCGTTCATAATGAGATAACCAAACTCCTCCGGACCTTATAAAGTACACAGGATACGTACACGATTTATGTGGTCATAATAACGACACAACACTGGACTGGGTCTGAAAGTCGTCGTGATTTTGCTTGTCATGAGTTTAACATAGGTCAGACGATGAGGGCGCCACTTCGTACTATTTGCTTAGATTATACAGCTTTCGAATTCTTAAGAGGTCATCAAATAAAAGGGAGCTTGACAATAACAACTATTATATTATCATTCATAGGAACGTGTTGGAGTGTGTATAGCCCATAACTTTTTTTTCAATAAACCACCAGATCCTCAAATAAATTAAGACCCTCAAGTAGAAAAAATAAAAAGTCAAATACTGGAGTGGGAATGGAAACCATGATAATGAAATCACAATGACATAACCTAACTCCTCCGGACCTTGTTAACTATAACGGGCGTGTATGAGTCTTATATGTTCATAATAGCGACACATAACTGGACATGGTGAGAAAGTCGTCATTTCTTGCTTATTCAGCAATTCCCGGGATTAGTCATAATTGTAACATCGACGATTGTATAGCGTCAGAATGTTCGAATTATAAACACATAACGTACATAGTGTAGAGTTCAGCAATTGAATTTAAAAGAAAAGAAACATGAATGTATATATTATTCGTTTTGTAAAGTTTACCATCTCTCGGGCTGTTGACGTTAAAAATCAGTATGGATCTACAATATCATTTAAAAATGCATCGAAAAAATAAATAAAAATATATAGTCAAACCTTATGCAATATTCAATGTAAACATTTTATAATAATGTACATCCATTATTCATGCAGTATCTTACTTGATATTCGTTTAAAATAATTAGATTTAATTATTGGCGAAATGATGTAAAACGTGAAACAATCACCTATTTCAACAATGGTTCATTAGAATGTCAGAGATTTTACTAGAATTGTCCTTGCGTGACTGGTTGTAATTCTATCGATATTGATTATCGTTAGGATGATGAATCGGGTGTTTATATTAATAATAAATAATTTCACACTCTCGGAAATGGCTAATTATAATTACATGCAAGATATCAATCACCCTTTCTACCATAATGATGACAGAGTGGTCCGGTAACAAAACGTCAACTCCCCCGAACCTAGTTATTATGTGTAAATTAGGTTTTTATTTTAAAAAATAACTAGTTTGAAACTTTTCTGAAAGCCTAGGACTATTTGAACACACTGGGAGATATCAATAACGTTTTTTTTTTCAACACCGTAATGACCTACATACTTAAATTAAGCTGAAATTGTTTTAAATTCAAATGAAAAAGTGTTTTTACAAATGAAAAAATAAAGATAACCAAGCACAGAGGTCACAAAAGGTCAAGTGCTGGAATGGGAATGGATATTTTGTGACAACCCAACTATAGACCCTGTTAACGATAACGGTCACGTAGTCTTTTATGTGGTTATAATAACGACACAACACAAATCAGCTAATATAGATCTACAATAAATTATAAAATCGTTTATATTTGTCAAATCAATACTCCGTCATTATAGAATATAAAGTCGAACCATACACAATAATAGTTTTTGTATTTGTTTGCCTCCAATAACCATGCTGTATCCTCTCTTATATATTTGTTTGGTATCAGTTAAAAATTATCGTCGATATCCATGGTAAGGTATTGAAGAAAAATGAGATTTATGTAAGAAAAATATTTGCCTTGTACTATTATTAAACGCAAAACAATAGACAGATTTCAACAATGGAACAGTCTACTAGCCAGATGTTGTACCAGACTTATCCTGTTGTTTACTGGTTGTAATTGTAAATTTAAATAATTTAAGACTTTTTCTGGAAAAGCCAATTAAAATTACAAACATGTAAGATATCAATCATATTTTTTCGCTCTATAAATACGTGTGGGACCGTTTTTACCAATCAATTCAAGAACATGTTTACTATAGATCTACAATATAATTAAAATGCGACTTAAGTGACGACCTACGCCTTTAAATTGAGCTAGACGTATTTTACAATTCAATTGAAAGTCATTGTATACAACATGAGATAATCTAACATAGAATAGACGGACAACAAAAAGGTCAAATGCTGGAATGGAAATGAATAGACGGACAACAAAAAGGTCAAATGCTGGAATGGGAATGGAAACAAGTACTTTGTGATAATCCAACTCCTCCGGACCTTATATCTATATTGGGCAGGTACGACTTTTATGTTATTATAATGACGACCAAAACTGGATTCGGTGAGAAAGTGGTCACAATTTTGCTTATTCTGCAATTTACGCGATGAGTCATGAGTGTGACTTCGACCAGGCGATGAGGGCGCCTGTATGTGTTTACTTTCGTACAGAGGTCAGCTTGTTGAGTGACGTGTATTGTGTAAAGGTCGTCAGTTGAAGTGAATGAATGAATGAATGAATGAATGAAGAAATGATTTTACAACTTTCATACTTAGTCAACATTTTTCGAGTTAAATAAGTCCAGCCAACACAAATGTCAGACATCTTTTAAAATCAAGGTGGGATGAAGTTATGGAAATGTG